AAACATCAATGATGAGAGAGAATCATTGATTGGCTGCCTCCTGCATGCCCTCTACTGGGGATCGAGTCCGCAACCCGGGCATGTGCCCTTGACCAGTGTGGAACCTGGGATCCTTCAGTCTGCAGGCTGATGCTCTATTCACTGAGCCAAACCAGCTAAGGCTGTTATCTTTTTTAAAACAAAAATCTTACCTATTTCCCCTGAATAGATGTAGAGACACAGCTGAACACAATTTTCAACAGTGATATTACTTTCTTGGTGTTACAATTTTTTATACATAATTCCGTCTACAGGCAAATAAATATACATACCCAAAGCAGTAAAAATAAAATAAAACCACAGGACCTGAAAAACCTACCAAGGGTTTTTGTTTTGGTAAACATTTATGTTACCATTTAAACTTCAGACTCCTGAGATGGTCCTTGGTATAAAGTGACAGCTTCTGGTTTGATTCCCTCTGGTATTCAAACGATATTCGCCAACCTAAAGACCAGTGTTTGGAGGCTGTACGGCTGGCTATGTGCGTCAATGTCCCAAGGCTTTGCCTCAGGCCTATAATCTCCCCTAATCATTATTCACAATCCCTCCGAAAAGCCTCAAGCTAAAACTGTGATTGCTATTGCTATTTAGAACTAAACTTGCATACTCGTCTTTGAAAATCATTTCTTCTTTCATGATTTTTTTTTTTTGTCTAATTCATGCACCTACAGAGATCCACTAAAGTAAGCATGAAAACCTAGAGCAACAGGCAATCTGTTTGGACTGTTGCTTTCTTCACTAATTTATTAAAAAGATATTTTAATAACAAAAATACTTAGGGACTGCATTGCATAATAAATGCAACTGGATATATAAAGTCCTTAAAGGGGATATGAAAAGCAGTGATTATGGAGAAGAGTTTGGTAAATTCAGAATTTTGTAATACAGTTGTCATAAGACATCGCTTATTCAAAAATCCAAAATAAATTTTTTTAAATGCAAAAATGAATTGAGGGATGCAATGGTTCCTGAAAATCGGAGAATAAGCCAGAGTTAAATCACACCACAAATTTCTTTAACTAGACTTTCACTTTTTTTTTTTACTTTAGGATGTCAAAATATTATTTCTTGACATCTATTCTGCCTAAAGTTCCCACTCTTGGCTTATTTCTAGGATTGAACATTGCAATCCTTTCTCTGTTCTTCCCATAATTCTGTCTGCTTGAGTGATAGTGAAATACAACATCTTACTGAGGAAGGGCTATATGTCTCAGACTCCCTGGGTTAGCGTCAGTTGCCTTACCTCTATAAAAGGGATAATAATAGTTTTTACCGCAAAGTATATGTTAGGATTAAATGAGTCAAATGATAGAAAATATTTAGTAGATTCTCTGGTTTAGAGTAGGCACTCAATAATTGTTACTTATTGTTGTTAATAATGATAACTTTTTAGAACCTTTTAAATGTCGTCTGAGAAAACTGTAAATAAAAACCATTTGCATGACTTTGGACAAACGTGAGTTAAACTCTCTGTTCTTTTGTTTTCTCATTCATAAAATAATATGATCTGACAATACTAACACAAAGATCTCTATTAACTATTAAATCTTACATGATTTTACTTAGCTGTGACTAAGGCTCATACTTATTTTCCTCCTCTGCTTTTCATATACATTGACAATTCTATTTCTAGTTGAGACTAACTTTGCTTTTGTATCCTTCTTTATATAAGAACCATCTCTGATTATGTTCTGTACTCTTTCTGGCAGCAGTAATCATGGGATATCTTACTAATTTCCTATGAACTATTATATTCACTACCAAACGCCACAGAAGACCCTAAGAAAGTATGCTTTCTTGCCCGTCTGATGTGGTTCAATGGATGAGCATTGGCCTATGAACTAGGAGGTCATGGTTCGATTCCTGGGCAGGGAACATGCCTGGGTTATGGGCTCAATCCCCAAAAAAAAAAAATTACTGTTTTTTTTAACTGATACCTTAAAAAGTAATTAGATATTAATCACATAAAACATGTAAAGATGCTGCTATAAAAAAAGAAGGAACTTTTAACATCTGCAACAACATGGATGGAACTGGAGAACATTATGCTAAGCGAAATAAGCCAGTCAGAGAAAGATAAATATCACATGATCTCACTCAATATGTGGGATATACTGATCAACATAACTTAATGAACAAGAATAAATCGATCTAGAGACAAATGGTAGGGGGGGGGGTAGAACGACCAAAGGACTTGTATGCATGCATATTAGCATAACCAATGGACATAGACACTGGGAGCTTGCCTGGGGTAGGAAGGGCTGGGGCGGGGTCAGTTGGGGAAAAAGAAGACAAATGTAAAACTTTAGACAATAAAAGAAAAAAAACATATAAAATTTTGTATTCCATCTAAACCAAGGATTCAAAAAAAAAAAATCTGCTACGTTTCTGGAGAGGTATATGTCAAGTTTTATTCAAAAGTCTTGAAAAATTCCCCATTAATGTAGTAAAACAATTTGCAATTTAGGACAGTACCTTCTGAGGACAGAAAAATAATATCTATATTGTGGTGTAAAAAGAGTTATAGCTTCTAATAAGGCTTATCTTCAGTAAAAATGGAAACTGAGGCTTTTTATTGATATAACTTTAGTAACAAAAAAGTATGGGTCATAGATGTATGTACATTTAAAGCATGAAAAATTAGTAACACATTTTTTTTTGGTCACAAGTAGTCAGTATATTACATTCTTATGGAGGCTATTTTAAAATTCTAAATTACAAAACACTAATCTTAGCTAATGTTGATGTTCGGTATAACATTATAAGTATGTTGTAGTGGAAGTCACTGATTTCAGCAAGAAAAACTATGGCAGATGTAAAATACAGGTTAGGTAAAACTACCTTTAGAGTAACTCTGATACTGAAATATTAATAGATGAAATAAATTAATGTCTGCATTTGCTTCAACATACCTCAAGAGTTTTAAAAGAAAAAGATTAGCCATGAGTTGTTAATTATTGAGGCCAGATTGAAATACATGGGGTTTATTAAATCCCGGTGCATGGATTTGTGCACTGGTGAGGTTCCATGACTTGGCCTGTGCCTTCTCGCAATCTGGGACCCTTCGGGGAATGTTGGAGAACTGGTTTCGGCCCGATCCCTGCAGACCAGGATGAAGGACCCCTCTAGTATGCATACAAGATCTTTGGTTAATCTCTTCCCACCCTCTCCCCTCACCCCTCCCCTCCGAGATTCATCAGTCTGTCCCATGTTTCCATGCCTGTGCATTGAGCATCTGTTCCATGGTGGTCATTATGCATTATAGCTACTGGCTGGTCAGCCAGTCGGCTGGTCACTTAGGCTTTTATATCTATAGAATAGATTCTCCCAAATCTTCTATGTTTGAAACTATCCAGAATAAAGTTTTTTAGAAAAAGCCAATGCACATACAGGCGCCAAATTCAGAATCCATGAAGATGACAATGATTTAACCTCATAAAATGCCAAGCTTACATGGCAAAATTAAAATACATAAAATAAAACAAAACATAAAAAGAGGAAAATGAGGGAAAACATAATTGTAACATGTGATTTACAGTGTTAATATTCGTAATGCGATTCTTGATTCTTTGCAATCAAAAAAATCCATTAAAAAGCCTAAGAAAAATTTGAAATGGGGCATAAGTGAGATGGCCATAAAAGAAAAAGAATGGACAAATGAAAGTATGAAAAGACATTTATCTCACTAGCAATCAAGTAAATGAAAATTAAAATACCATATACTTTTCTCATATCAGATTTATGTAAAACAAAAACAGTTACTATCAAATGACAAAACTACAGTGAAAGTGGTACTCTTCTATACTGCTGGTAAAAATGCAGTTGGTAGACTTTCAGTATATTTACTCTTTGATACCAATTCCCTTTTTTAGAATATACCATAAGCTAGTATTTTCCAAAGTGTTAAGTGGGATGTTATCAGGTGTGTATTATGTGTATGTGTGCAAGTCTAAATTTAATTTGAAATGTAAGTGTATACAATGGCACTTAAATATATTCCCCTTTAAAATTTTCCTTTTGCTTTTTATAACATAGACTTTATTTTTTAGAGAAGTTTTGGACTCAGCAAAGTTGAGTGGAAACTAGAAAGATTTCCCATATGCCCCCTTCCCACACTTACACAACTTCTCCAACTCTCAACAGCCCAAAGACAGGTTTTATTTTAAGAAAGGATCTATAATCAAATAAGTTTGATTTCTAAGACCTTAGTATACTACTAAATATTGGAATTCTTCAAGATGGTGGGTAATAGTGTTTTCTTATATTGTAGGTCCTGGAACCCTTTCATCAGAGAGCATGCTTAGGAACTAAGGTTCTACAATACTTACTTTTGGAACTTGTCCTAAACATCATTAGACATGAATACAAAGATGTATGCACAAGTACATTCACTGAAGTCATGTTAACCACAGGGAGATATTGGAAACATCTCAAATACCCAATAATTGGAAAATGGGTATACAATTTATATTATACCTTTAAATTAGATTATTATATGACCTTTGACAATGCTAATGTGGATGATATTTACTGGCATAAAAAGTGCCACAACTTGCTAAGTGAAAGAAGCACTGTAGACAAAGAGTGTTTAATTTGTATCCTATGGTTGCCAGTCATAATCTTAATAATTATATAGATATGTATTATAGATGCATCAAATTCAGCAAGAATTACAACAAAATAAAAAAAATGGTTATCTCAAGGTAGTAGGATTATTATACATTTCTGTACTATTATATATATGCATATATATATATTTTTTTTTTTTACAATGAACATGTATTAGTTTTAGAATAGAAAATGTTTTTATAGAGGCAATGTGATTATGTGCCTTAATCCTTTGGCATTTTAATCTCTGGATGTCAGAAGATGCTCTTAATATTTAATAAAAATTAAATTCACAGACAAGAAAACTATAATTATATGAATAATTCATGGAGAGAAAAACACACAATTCCTACCTTCTGGAGACAAACTTAAAAACATAACAAGTGCTGTGAGACCCAGCAGCGTAATGGAGGCAGC